CCCTGCAGCCAAATCCCCCGGGAGATCCAGGCTCTCTGCGTATTGAGTCAGGGAGAGGTAAACAAAGGAGTGCTTTCAACTGAGTTGGTTTGCGCTGACGCCGCATCCACATTATCCTGGGATTAATGGCTTTTTGAAAGTGTGCAATCTCAGAAGCCGTGTTACAGCGCAGCCTTAACCCTGAGTGGGTGTCTGTGCTTTGGACCCATCGGGCAGTGTGATCTCTGGCCCCGAAGTCTGCCTTATCTGGAACATTGCCCCCATCTTAGCTCCCTGCCCTTGCTCTCCCCAGGTGGAGTTGGCACGGATCCCAGGGTCCCTGGCCTCCGTGTGGGTGCCAAGTGCATGGAGGGGGCCGGGGATACATCAGAGAGCTCCCCTCATCCTTCTTCCACACCTGGAGAAACTGCAGCTTCTCTGAGGCCTGACTTTTTGGAAAGGATTTTGCAGCCCCCAAGCTCTTTTCTCACCTTCCTGTGGGGCTCAGGACCCCCGAACCACAGCCGGGAGCCCCAATGGTTTTCCTTCCTCGCTCCTGCTGTCTGCACCCGCAACACCCACACTCCTGCTCCCCTCCCGCCGCGAGGCTGGCCCCGGACAGTCCCTATGATAGAGGCTGGCGGGTACCAGGGTCCCTGGAGCCATATCCGGTCCCAACAAGGAGGCAGATGGGAAAGGAGAGAACACAGAGAACAAGAAAGTACCAGCTTCAAAAAGGAGAGAAACGCGTGCTGACAGATCTTGGCCGCACGCCTGGCCCAGCGCGTGGTGGCACAGCCTGGCCCAGCGTGGGACTCACTCCGTTCTGCGGGTCTGCACATGGCCACAGGCACACAAGAACACACGGCGCAGCCAGAAATGTCGCTACCCCCAAGCCAGGCAATGCGGCAAGTGGCTCTGCACTCGGGCTGGAGTTCCGCCAGCACTCTCTCACTGCGAAGACGGACAGATGACCCCTGGACAAGCTCAGCCTGGTTGTGTGGTGTGTGAGACTGCAGTACTCCTGAGAAAACCAAGAGGAAGATTCTGGTGCACCTCGGGGCCCCCCACTCCCACCCCCACCCCCACTCCCGAGATGTTGGCCCTAGGCATGGTCCTTGGGTGTTCCTGGGGGCCCTTGGCTTCACTCTGGGGTCCTCTGTTCCCCCACACTTCTCTGCTGACTCCTCACATCTCTCTTTGGGCTCACATGGAGTGATCTCAGCATTTGAGTTTGCTAGAAGCCTGGCCTGGACCCTCATGGTGCGGGGTGACAGGAGTGTCAGGTGCCACGTACAAGGTGCCGGAAGCCTGTGTACGCCAGGCAATGGGCTGCCTTGGCATTTAACAGCCGCCGTTCTGTGTCTGATTTTAAACCCAGGATGGAAATTCTCTCTCTTCCCGTACACTTCATCTTGACAGAATCGCTCCCAGTATGTTGCAGACCGAGGAAAGCAGTTTCACCCCAGAGTGAGTGAAATCCCTGGCTCCGGCACACAGATGCAGAGCAGCGAAGGGGAACTGAGAGAGAGAGCGGACGATAGCCCAGTCCCTGGGTGAGAGGGAAAGATGGAGGGACAGCAGAGAGGAACCTTGCAAGGAAAAATGTAAAGCCCCAGAAAGACTACGGGGATTCCGCAGAAGTCTTGCTGAGAATGAAGGGTGAGAAATGGACTTTGTACAAGACCGCAGCCGCCTAGCGCCTTCCACGTGCAAGGCGGTTACAGGGCTCTGTGGACAAGGGATAAACAGGTCATGGTGTCGCACATGAGCCCGTGTTGCCAAGTACCTGGCCCATGCTGCGTGTTTATTACACAAATAAGTTGTAATGACCAAGGCCGGAATCAGCGGGGTGCGTGATCAGCTAGCAAACATGTGTACCCCGGTACTCAGTGTGGTGGGGCGAGGGTCTTGACAGGGTTCTGGAAGAATTGGCACAGGGAGAGCGGGTCTGGTCAGGGTGACCAGCACGGGCTTCCCGGAGGAGGTGGCGTCCCAGCGGGCCCTGGTGGAGCAGCAGGGATGGTTCAGTAGCCGGATGTCTTAGCTCTGGCCACCCCTCCTGAACCGTGCCTGCAGCCTCGCTCGCAGCTTCCCAGGCACATTTCTCTCCACCAGGCCCTGGTTATGGACAGGAAAAAGGGGAGGGGGAGCGGGGCAGGGAAGACCCTTCTGCCCTCCGCCCCTCCAGGCCGGCCTGCACTTGGCTGCTCTTTCTGCCCACCCCCAGGCCCGCAGGATTGGTGCTCCAGCTCCAGCTCCCAAGCCCAGACGGCACCCCTGCCTCTGCCCGCCAGGCTTTGGCCATGGCTCTGCCTGGTGTGGTTAAGGGTGTTTGCATCTCATCTTCCCCACCAGACTTGGAGCTTTTTGAAGGACCCGTTTATTTTCTGCTTCAAAAGTTAGCAGAGCCCTTGACCACAGCAAAGGGGAGAGGGAGGAGGGGAGGAGAAAGGAGGGCTGGATGGCGTTTTGGAAGTAATGGAGAGAGAGAGCGCGCATCAGGGAGGCTGAGATGAATGCTGAGGATGAGGAGCAAGGGGGAATTCCCAGGTCCGGGAGCAGAAGTCAGGAGAAGGCCTCCCGGGCTGCCGGGACGGCTCAAGGGGACAGGCCCAGGAGAGGACACGCTTGGCAGAGCCCAGGGCCTGAAGCAGGTTGAGGGTGGGGTGAGCCGTGGGGGTTTACGGGTGTGCGGTGGGGCTGGAACCAGCTGATGAGACGCAGGCAGAGGCCGTGTGAGTTAACCACGGAGGAGAGCCGGAAACCACGAGGTTTGGTTTCCTTCGAGCTGTGGGAGACCCAAGCATTTTGCAAAGCTGTAGGGAAGGAGTCAGTGGCCAGGGAGAGAGTGAAGAGGCAGGAAGGGGAGAAGGGATGAGACAAGAGAGGGAGCCAGGCTCCCAGGAGGGATGTGTGTGTGAGGCCTGAGCCCCCGCAGCCCCGGAAGGAGACTGCAGCACTGAAGCGGGGGGCTCCTGGTGTGCTCCCCTCCTTGGTGGTCACAGCCCTGAGAGAAAAGAACCCCAGGGTGATCTGGAGGCAGAAAAGGGTGCAGTAGTAACCATGTGCCCACTAGAGCAAGGCGAGGAGGGCGTCGAGCCCCAGACAGCGGCGACCTTGCCCCGGGCTGGCCTGCCTGCGGCTCCTGGCTGACCCAGGCACACTGTGTGGAAGGGAGACAGGCACAGGGACCAGGTGGGCAGGAGATGAATTTCTCCCTTGTTTCGTCTGGAGGCTGGCGGCACTCAGAGGCAGGCTCCTGGGGACTCGGAGTCTGTACTCCTGATGAACCTATAGGAAGGCACTTACTTAAACCGTGTATAAACCGTGCAGATAAAATGAGCTCACTTCTTCTTTTCTGTTGATAAAGGCAATACATTCACATCATAGAAAAACATGAAAAGGGGGCTGGTGCTGTGGCGCAGTAGGTTAATCCTCCACCTGTGGCACTGGCATCCCATGTTGGCGCCGGTTCGAGTCCTGGCTGCTCCACTTCCCATCCAGCTCTCTGCTATGGCCTGGGAAAGCAGTGGAAGATGGCCCAAGTCCTTGGGCCCCTGCACCCACGTGGGAGACCAGGAAGAAGCTCCTGGCTCCTGGCTTCAGATCGGCGCACCTCCAGCTTCTGTGGCCATCTGGGGAGTGAACCAGAGGATGGAAGACTTCTCTGTCTCTCCCTCTCACTGTCTATAACTCTACCTTTCAAATAAATAAATTAAAAAAAATTTTTTAAATAAAAGAAAAACATGAAAAGATAGAGAATTGGGAAGTGAACAAGGGAGAGTGACTCCAGTTTGGGCTACCCAAAGTTAAGTTTGAGAGGCTGACATTTAGCCCAATACCTAAGATACTTATTAAAATGTTTAAGGTGCAGGCCCTGAGACCGTGTCCTATACTGCAGTGCCTGGGTTCGAGTACTGGCTCCACTCCCGACTCCAACTTGCTATGAATGCACAGCCTGGGAGGCAGCCGTGACGGGTCAGTGGCTGGGTCCCTGCCACCCATGTAGGAGATTCGGATTGAATCAGGCTCCTGCCTTTCATCTGGCCCGGTCCCAGCTGTTGCAGGCACTGATGGGGAAGGAGCCAGCAGTTGAGGGCTCCCTCGCTTGCTCTTCCCACCTCCTTCCTCCCCCTCCCCCACCTTTTCAAATACATAAATTCAGTTTAAAACTTTTCAGAAGATAAGCATGGTTAACATGGAAAGAAAATTCACCAAAATGTTACAATTATAAAGGCACTGTTTCTCTTCTTTCTGGAACATTAAGGAAAACAACTATGGCTAGGGAAGCTCATGTTTACAGTTTTTGAAAGATGCCTACAACGTCCAGGCAAATCGGGAATCCTGTAGTAGGCACTGGTCCAAAATGGCAGGATTCTATTACAGGCGTCTTATGTGGTCACAGACTTATTTTGATCTCTTCCAGGAAGGATGCCCTGGGAGGAGGAGGGCTTTAAAATGCACACTGCGGGTGGGAGGTTAGCCTGGTGCTTGAGATGTCTGAGCCCCACACTGGATGGCCCGAGTGACTCCCAGCTCCAGCTCCTGGCTCCAGCTTCCTGCCACTGCAGACCCTGGGAGGCAGCGGTGGTGGCTGGAGTCGTTGGAAGCCTGCCTCTCAGGGGCAGACCCGGATTGAGTTCCTGGCTCCTGGCTTTGGCTCTGACCCAGCCCCAGCCATTGTAGGTATTTGAGGGAGTGAACCTACAGATGGAAGCTAAACTCTCTCTCTCTGCCATGCAAAAAAAAAAAAAAAAAAAAAAAAAAAAGATGTAAACGCATGTTGCCTCTCCAAGAGCAGTTAAATGCAGGAAAGTAGTCTGTTCAATTCTTCTTTGAAAAGAAGGCAAATTCCCTCAAAGAAAAGTAATCCTCTCACGGCACAGCTCCCAGACCTCCCTCCTCCGCTCCCTGCCGCCCTGAGCCCGAGCAGGACAGCTGCACCTGTGCAGAAGAAGCGGAAGTGAAACTGAGGAGGGGGAGGGCTGCCTCGCCTAACCTTGTACCTTTGCCCACAGAAAAGAGTCTGCCTCCCACAGCAGCCGGTCAGGGAGCTGACGCGCAGCCCGCGCCACCTTGGATCACCATGGCTCGGCAGAAGCGGCGAGGGGCTCCGGACCAGCCCCCCAACCGGGAAGACAAGCCCGGGCTGCAGACCTCCAAGTCGGAAATGGGGAAGCAAGCCAAGGCACCTGAGAGAGCCCAGGTGCCTACAGCAAGTGCTGTGTCTGTGGGTGCAGGAGGGGCCGGTCCAGGGCTGGGGCTGGGAACCCCGTGATGACCAGACGTCTTACTTGGGCACCGCCACTGTGGTCATCTGTGGTGATGGCTGACGTGTGGGTGAGGGGCAGGGAAGCACAGTCAATCGTTTGTCATATCGTAGCCCCTGTGGTGGAGCAGCCCGCCTGCCTCGCGTGCGTGCTGGGCCGCCGGGAACACAGGAAAACGTGTGAGTCACTTAGGCGGTGGAGCGGGAGCTCCGCTCCCTGCCTCCTAGGCAACGCAGCTCAGCATCTGGAAAAACGGAAGGAGGTTAAAATAACTTGTCCGTTAGACACACGGCAGAGATGTCAACAGCTCCGCGTCGGCCCACCCTGCCGAGCTGAGCGAGCTGGCGGAGCCCTGCTAGTCCTGCCTGGCCGGCCTCCTGCTGGGGCTGCCTGTGCCTCACCTCAGACCGCAGGGCTGCAACCTGGGGCCCCATTTTGTTCCCTGGACTGAAAACAACCTGGACCAAGCCAAAGAGCTGTGCTTAGAAGCCGGCCAGGCCCCCCAGCCGCTGGTTATCCCCGTGTTGGGTCACAGGTGGCTGGACAGCAGGTGTCTTTCTTGTGTCTCAACAGGAGCCCACAAAGCAAGCCGACTTTGTCCGCAGCAAGTCCTTCCTGATCACTCCTGCTAAGCCCACTCTGGACGCGAGGCAGGGGCCCAAGCTGAACCTCAAGGAGGGGCTGCAAAGAGGAATCTCACTGTCCCATCAGAACTTGGGTACGGCACCTGCAACCATTAGCCAGCTCTTGGAATTGTTCCCTGCGCGTGCGGGTTTGCCCTCCCGAATTCTTGCACAGTGCATTTTGGACACAGCTTTAATGGAGACAGAATTGACATGGCATCAAATTTCACCTTTTTTTTTTTTCCCTCTGATCCATCTGAAAATTTGTTTTGACAGACATTTAACACGTGCACCTACTTTGGAGGTGTGTGGTGTGTTGATGTACGGATGCCGTGTGCACCAGTCACATCAGCCCCCGACCCCGTTGGAAGCGTGCAGTTCAGGGAGTGTAGCATTAAAGTGAGCGTGTGTTTCTTCACGCAGCTGCACCATCAGGTCAGCCTGATTTGAGAACTTTTCCTCCCTCCCACTCTGGTGCAACCCGTGCCCACCCAGTCATTCCCCATCCCCGCCCCGGGCTCTAGGCAACCTACACACCACGCCTACTTTCTAGCAGGACAGGTTTGCCTTTATTTATTTATTTATATTTGTTGTTTCTTATAAATGGAATCATAAAACGTGTCCCCTTGTCCCTGGCGTCTTTCACTGAGCATAGTGTTTTGGAAATTCTCCTCGGCTGGCTGCCTGTATCCGTGTTTGGAAAATATGATTTGTTTTTGCTGTAGCCGAAGACATCTAACAGTTTACCATCGTAACCATGTCTCGGTGTCCGGTTGGGTTGTTGTCACCCCCTGTTCTGCAGCCGGCGTCCAGAGCTCTTGCTGTTGTCTTCCAGAAGTTTCTCTCACCTCGCTGCCGTTGCCAGCGCCGAGGGAGCCCCCCCCCCACCCAGTCTTTTCATCATGCAGATGGCACACTGTGCGTCTCAGTCATCTTTACCTGCTTACGTGTTAATGATGAATTTTGCCTTTGAGAACACAATGGAGACCTTGACATGTTTCAAGAAGTGCAGGAGGCTTAAGTGAAAATCTAAACTCATTTCTCGTGTTTCTGTTTACTTTGTCTCCTTTCCAGCGGCTCAGGCGGCAGCGATGACCGAGAAGGAGTTGCATCAGCTCAAGAGAGCCAGTTACGCCAGTGCGGAGCAGCCATCCTGGATGGAACTTGCCAGAAAGAAATCTCAAGCTTGGAGCGACATGCCCCAAATAATAAAATAGATTGGCAGCGCTCTGATAATGAATGTCCACTCCCTCGCCCGGCCACTTCGTTAAAAACTGCCAATAAACCATGGCAAACAAGCGGGGAAACCTAAGATTGATTCTTATCGTCAAGCTGGGGAAGAGGAAGGAACCAGACAGAACAAAGGGGACACACACGTGGCCATCACCCAGGGCCCGAAACAAGAACAACATTGACATCGTCCGGGGGCGAGCGCGTTTCTGTGCCCAAGGCGATGAACGTGAGAGGCTCAGAATCCCCTCTGGAACGGGGCCTCCCACCAGGAAGGAACGGGGATGCGTAAACAGGACGCAGCCCAGGAGCCGGAGAGAAGCCTCCCACCGGAGACCGGCCCGCGGCTCTGGCCACTGTGTCTCGCCCGTGGAGCCTGGCTTCCCCTTTCGTGTTTACTACTAGGCGTGACAGTTAAGGTAAAACAGGGATGCCGTTTCTAAGAGCAGCTATAAAACAATCCGTTTCCCTGAAGACAGCCACGCAAAGGAGAGGCAGGAACATAGCAGGGCTCATCAACTCCCAGACTGTTTCCAGTAATAATTTTTAAACTTTTCCACTAGGTGTCTGTGCCCTTAACCGTTGCACAATGCATTGCCTGTTTAATAAAAAGTTTCAAACTCGCCTCTGTTGGATGAGCACATGTTGTTTCTGCCCCCACTTGGAGGACTCGCTCCTGCGCTGAGTTGAATGCCACGTGTGTAGGGTTTCATGTACTTCTCATTGAAAATCTCAGTGGTTTTGGAGTTTGAGTTTGGTTTTATGTTTTTCGAGAGGCAGAAAAAAAAAGAGCTATCATATATAATGTATTTATTTAAAAGAGAGAGAAGGACAAAGAAAGAGACAGAGAGGGAGAGGGAGACAGAGTATCTTCCATCTGTTGGTTCACTCCCCAAATGGCTGCAATGGCCAGGGCTGGGCCAGGCTGAAACTAGGAGCTTCTTCCAGGGCTCCCACATGGGTGCAGGGGCCCAAGCACTCAGGCCATCTTTTGCTGCTTTCCCAGGCGCATTAGCAGGGAGCTGGATCAGAAGTGGAGGAGCTGGGACACAAACTGGTGCCAATACGGGATGGTGGCACTGCTAAGCTAAGCTGTTGTCCCACAGCACTGGCCACAAGAGCTATCGTCTATTGGCTCACCACCCAAATGCCTACAAAGGTGGGGATTGGGCTGGAGCTGAGAATCAGGAATTTAATCCAGGTCTCCCACGTGGGTGGCAGGAACCCAGTTGCTTGAGCCATCACCGCTGTGTCCCAGGGTCTGCTGCATTTGTAAGAAGCTGGAGTTGGGGCCGGTACCGTGGCTCACTTGGCTAATCCTCTGTCTGCAGCGCCGGCATCCCATATGGGCGCTGGGTTCTAGTCCCGGTTGCTCCTCTTCCAGTCCAGCTCTCTGCTGTGGCCCAAGTGCTTGGGCCCTGCACCCGCATGGGAGACCAGGAGGAAGCACCTGGCTCCTGGCTTCAAATCAGTGCAGTGCCAGCCATAGCGGCCATTTTGGGGGGTGAACCAACGGAAGGAAGACCTTTCTCTCTGTCTCTCTCTCACTGTCTAACTCTGCCTGTCAAAAAAAAAGAAAAAAAAAAAAGCTGGAGTCAAAGGCACTAGATGGGAATCAAACCCAGTCACCCCAGCGTGGCTGAGTGGCACCTCTAGGCCAAATGCCTGCTCTCTTTCAGATTTTTTTCTGGGGGGGCAGGGGAATGGGGAAGTATGAATTTTTTGAGATTTTTTTTCCCCAGTAAAAATTTTGGTGTTCACTTTTAGAAGACAGAAGATAGCATAGGGTTTGTTGTCTTTTCATGTTTTTGATATAATACATTAAAATGTAAAATTTCCTTAAAATGTAGAATTCTTCAGCCTCTAATTAATTAACCTACACGTTTCTGTTGAAAACTGGATTGTCAGTGCATTAGCCAGTGTGACCCACAAATGCAGCGTGCAAGGAAGCCAGGCCGAGGGAGAACATTTTGGAATTTCAGAACTGTGTCTCTGTGTATGCGACTGATTTATTTTTTAAATACAGTTCCCATATGTTCCTTTGAATAAGCCAGTGTATATAGCTGGAACCAAATCAGTATGATCTCATGAACTATTATAATTTGATTTTATGTACCCGAAGAGCTGCTACATTTATTGCATTTTCCACTTCAGGAACATTTTTTTCTAGCTGTTAGTACTACACAGCTTGATCAAGTCTACCTTTAATGAAAAAGTCCTGAGACAGTTCTCTTTCCCAAATTGATTTATTAATTGCATTCTCTTAGAGAACATCAATACCAAATTCCATGGTGACTGTGCTGTAAGTAAGAACTCCATCCATCTAGCTCTGCCTCAACAATTTAGACATGAAAAGTCTCAACTGGGAAAAACCGTATTGGCCATTCTTACCCCCAAAACAATCATTTCTCCTATTAGCAGAACATTTCAGATGAACGTTTCCAGGTAGGAGGTTTCACTCTAAGATCAAAAGCGTTCTGTTAGGTTTTTGTTCAGACAGATGTTGCTATTTCCTGTGTGTTTCAGGCCTGGGTTTGGTTTGTCTGGCACCTGGTGAGTTAGAAGGCTGCAGATTTTTAAAACATTGCAGGGTAAGGGGGGGTGGGGAGGGACAGGTTCTACAGGTGCACCTTGTGCACAGAGGTGATGACCCTCACTGCATACATAACCAGGGAAGCTGAGGCAAGTGGCCAGAACTTGGGGATGCCTGGAGGGGCCTGGAGTGGCAGTGGGGGTGGTAGGAGCCTCCAGGGAACCAGCAGCCTTAGTTTTCCTAGGAGGCAAGGTGGTGAGCAACTACTCTGAGTGCGCCACACGGGTGATGGAGAATCCTTTCCACAGTCTTCTGGGGGCAGGTGCTCACCTCCGTTGAGATTAACTTGTTCACTTGTTCGAGATCCCACAGCAGTTTTGCCGCTAGGAAGTGACGCCGTTGTCCACACTTGTTTATTACCCATTCCCATTTTCAGAAAGCTTTGGTGGGGCAAGCATTTGACCTAATGGTAAGACACTGGCTAAGAAGCCCACATCTCATATCAGAACACCTGAATTGAGTCCTGGCTCCTCCCCTAATTCCAGCTTCCTGCTAATGCAGATTCTGGAAGGCAGTAAGTGATAGCTTAAGTAGTTGGATCCCTGTCACCCATGTGCAAGACCCAGATTGAGTTCCAAGCTCCCAATTTTGGCCTGACCCAGCTCTAGCCTTTGTAGGTGTTTAAAGAGGGAAGCAGTAGATGGTAATACTTTCACTCTCTGTCTCTGATAAATAAATAGCAGGTGTTTTTAAAAAGCCTCGGTGCTGAGGTGAATATGTGTCCTCCAAGATAGCACAGACATGAGAGCACTGAACTTGGCCTTCAAAGTCCCTGAATCTTGGGGAAAGCATGTGCCTCAATTCCTTCTAAGAAATGGAGAAAGTCTGAGGTCTTTTGTTTTGTATTTTTTCATCACGAGTACCTGCCTGAACGACATGGCGTTTCCAGTCATTCAGTGGAAGCTTTCGGGTGGACACTCTACAAGGGCCTGGGGACACCCCGACAAGCAAGTCAGTACAGGTTGAACACAATAAATAGGAAACATGAAGAACAGAACCGTGCACTTACAAGACTGAAATGGAGGCACTTGGTCATGGTGGAAAGGCTACTTGAGATCAGGAGGTTAAGGGAGGGGTTTGCCAAGCAGGTGACATATTTATAAAACTCACGGTAGCCTGCTCCAAGGTAACAGTGGAGATGGGGAGAAGTGGATAGAGTCAAAATTACATTTTGAAATGGTATAGAATTCAACCTGCAGGTGGTCTTGATGTGGAATGAGAAGAGTGGAAGGAGAAATGATATGTAGATTGGGGACAGGAATTCCAGGGTGAGTTGTGATATTATTTACAGAAATGAGGATAGACAGTGGAATCCAAAGAAGAGTTCAGTTTTGGACCTTGGAAGATGATCTTCCCATTAAATATCTGCTATGGTTTAACTGTAGTTGGTCTCCTGGGGGTCCATGTGTCGGCTTCCTGTATTGAGACGTGACCCTTTGTTCCCACCACTGCCATCCACCACTCTGTGACACAGCCAAGAGGACCCTTACCACAGATGAGCCAATGCCAAGGTCGTGCCCTTGAACCTCCAGAACCAGGAGCATAAGTCGCTTACATCAAGCGCGTTGTGAGTCACAAACAGCTGACGAATACAGCATTGAACAGGAATACCAAGCGGACAGATCAGATTGTCAGAGTGATAGTTCTTGATGTTTAGATGGGGTAGGAATTCGGGGTTCTGGAAGAGAAGGGTACCAGGATAGGTCCTAGGACATTCCAACACCAGCAGTCTAGGGAAAGAGGATGTAGGAGCGGCTGTGCAGAGAAAGAGAAAGACAAGGGCAAGGCAAGAAGAAAGTGTTAGAAGGAGAAGAGAGTGAGCAGCCATATGGCTTGGGGTCTGCTGAGATGAGATCAGCCGGAGAAGAGTGGCTGTTGGCGCGGAGCACACGGGAGTTGTAGATGACCTTGACCAAAGCCCGTTTAGTGCAATGCGGTGAGCAGACGCCCCCGTGCAGTAGGTTAGAGCTGAGTGGCCTGTGTCTAAATCAGCTACAACCAGCCTTTCAAGAAATTTTACATGAATGAGAGCAGAAGAAATGGCAGTAGTTGGAAACGGGGTGTGGCCAACAGAGGTTTTAGTTTATTTTCTGTTTGGTCGAAGGGATATACAAGAGTGGGCTTATGTATGGATGGCAGTAGAATTGTAGCACAGAAAAAGATCGCCGAGACAGGTGTCTCTGAAGCACGCCTCTCTTCCAGAGATCCATGCAGACTGCTCTCGATCCTGCAAATGGGAACCCTACATTTCATCCGGCTGGCAAGAAGACAACCTGTCGTGACACCTGGGCATGTCCTTCTCCGGCTTCTCTTGGTTAAACGTGCACACTGCCGGTTTTGCTTCCCTTGGACTTGGTCGGTGCTGAGCTGTCATATTCCGGGAGGACGGTGCAGGGTGTTCCCCGGGAGCACAGAGCTCTGCTAGTTGTGCATATATGCTCTGGACCCCAGGATTCCCCTTTTGTCTCAAAGAGCTAGGTAAACTCTCTTTAGATGCCAGTCAGTTCTATGCTTGGGGTTTCCAAAGGTTTCCCCATGATTCCGGGTTCATTTATTCCCACAGCCCCTTTTGCAGCTGGGACTCCTGCATTCCTGGTGGTGGTTGGTGGCTTTCCCCAGAACTTGGCCCCTTCAGCAGTGTGCAGAATGCCACACATACCCAGCCTTTTTTGTCTTAGTCAAACCCATTAAATATTTGGAGTCAAGGTCACGTGGTGGGGACACATCCCAGGGGACAGGCCAGTTCAGCTCCCTGGTCCTGTAGCTTCACCAACCCCCAGTAGGACAAGTTTCCCTTGGTTATCTCAAGCAAGTCAGGTCTGCCTTGTGCTCTCCCATTCACACACCACTCCATGCTGTTTTATAGAGAATTCTTGATAACAAATGGAGGGTAGTTGGGAAGAATATGGTCTTCTTCACCTCATTCAAAACTATTCGTTCATTAAAACTTAAAACCAGGGCCGGTGCTGTGGCACAGCGGGTTAAAGCCCCAGCCTGCCGCACTGCCATCCCATATGGGTGCCATTCTAGTC